ACTATGATCAAGTCACCCCATAACTTTCTCTTTGTTAAGCTAAATAGACTAAGCTCCTTGCGTCTCTCGCTCTAAGACAGGTTTTCCAATCCTTTAATCATTCTTGTGGATCTTCTCTGACCCGTCTCTAATTTAGCAACATCCTCCTTGAATTGTGGGCACCAGAGCTGGACACAGTATTCCACCCCTGCCAAATACAGAAGTAAAATAACCACTCTATTCCTACTTGAGATTTCCCTGACTAGGCATTTTAGGATTTCATTAGTCCTTTTGGCCACAGTATCACACTGGGAGCTCATATTCAGCTGATTATCCACCACGGCTCCCAAATATTTTTGAGAGTCACTGCGTCCCAGGATGGAGTCCCTGACCCTGTAAGTATGGCCTACCTTCTTTGTTCCTAGATGTATACATTTACATTTAGCCGTATTAAAACACATCATGTTTGTTTGTGCCCAGTTTACTAAGTGATACAGATTGCTCTGAATTTGACCTGTCCCCTTCAGTATTTATCACTCCCCCAATCTTTATCAGTGATGATTTTATGTTCTCTTCCAGGTCACTGATGAAAATGTTAAAAGTGTAGGGCCAAGACTGACCTCTGAGGGACCCCACTGGAAATACACCCTCACTATGATGATTCACTGCTTACAATTACATTTTGAGACAGTTTTTAATCCATTTCATGTGTGCCAGGTTCATTTTGTATTCTTCTGGTTTCTTAATCAAAACATCGTACAGTAGCAAGTCAAATGCCTTCCAGAAGTCCACGTCTATTACATCAACACTATTACCTGTATCGACCAAACTTGTAATCTCATCAAAAAAGATATTATTAGTTTGACAGGATCTATTTTCTATAAACCAATGCTGATTGACTTTAATTATATTACCCTCCTTTAATTCTTTATTAATCAAGGCCCATAGCAGCTGGTCCACTATTTTGCCTGGGATTGATGTCCAGATTGATAGGCCTAGGTTTCCCCTGGTTGTCCCATTTACTCTTTTTAAATATTGTCACAATGTTACCTGTCTTCCAGTCTGGAGCCTCCCCACTGTTTTGGTCATTGGGGCAGGGGGGCTGCCTCCTGGGTTTCTCCCAGCCAGCCTGAGTGCTCTAACCACTAGGCTCTAGAGTCATTCCCAAGTTTGCTCTTTGGCCCAATGACTCTGTAATTATTTAGTCAGAGTGGAACAGCTTCAACAGGAGAGACTGAGCAGACCTCCCTCCCCCAATAGTCCAGTGGCTTAAGAGGAATCAGAGCCTGTTCAAACCTCAT